ATCACAGCTCACAGCAACCTCCAACTCCTGGGCTCAAGCAAGTCTCCTGCCTCAGCCTCCCAAGTAGCTGGGACCACAGGCACCCGCCACAATGCCCGGCCATTTTTTGGTTGCAGCCATCACTGTTGTTTTTTGGCGGGCCTAGGCTGGATTCGAACCCGCCACCTTAGGTGTATGTGGCTGGCACCTTAGCCACTTGAGCCACAGGCGCTGAGCCAGTATTTTGTTTCTTGACATGGGTGCTAGTAATGAGGATGTGTTTACTTTATGAAAATTGTATATTTATGATTGTATACTTTTATGTATGTAAAATCTAAAACATTTACTTAAAACAAATTTAAAATTTCATTCATTTTAAACCTATTTTGGTGAAACTTGAAGCAAATTAATAATACCTACTCAGTCTATATTGCATTGAACTGAGGGAACCCTGAGAGGCCAACATCCCAAGCCCTCCACATGGAGAGACAAGGGTACAGCCCCTCCTAATGATCCTCACAGGCTTTTATTGAAGTCAGGCATGAGAAAATACCTGCACAGCGGAAAGCTGCTAAGAGGGTAAAGGTTACAAAACAAGTTTATGTTTAGTAGCATGACTGAACTCTTCACACATTCTGTTTACTACATTTCTGTCTTGCATGTTTCTTATCAATGCTAAATATGATTTAGGACTGAAACAGTCTGCTATATCCAGTGAGTATTGTTTTTAGTACTCAGGCCAGCAGTATGCTTGGCTTTTTCCCAGATTACTTTGTCCCTAGTGCCTAGCACTTTTAACCCTATGTTCTATCCTACACTTCTGTTCTCTCTATTGACTTAGGTCTCAACCCTGGAACAGTTGGGAAGGGCTCTTTGTCCTCTGCTTTCATGTTTTTCTTGTTCTGTTTCCACTCCTCCTTTGCAGGACCCTCCAGCATCAGAGCAGGAGGGAAAGCAGTGAAATAATCTATCTTGTCAGCTTTTGGATCAAAGCCCAAGTTCCCAAACAGCAAAATGAATGAGCTTAAGCTTCCAAGAAACATGACCCTGGAAATATCAATTACCATGGGAGGCGAGAACAACAAATGACATACCATGTCTAGGATTTCTGAACAGCTGTTCTAAATGAATTCCTGACAGATGGCATGTATGTGTCAGAGACTTGTAGGCAAATTAATTTACTTTTCTCAAATAGTTTATTTTCACTAATAACAAGATAATCTGCCTTTTCTCTTTGACTGTTAATTATTATGAGTTATATTAACATATTTCATAAAGTTAAGCTATATTTCCCTTGAGAATTATTTTGATCACAATACAATTTGATTCACTAATATTTAGAATTTTAGCTGCTGTATTGATATATGAAATTGGCTCTATATGTGTATAGATTTTTGTGTGTCTTTATTGTGTCCGGAAATGAGGCTTACACCAATTTAAAAAAAAAAAAAAGGGAAACTTTTATTCTTATTCTCCAATACTCTGAAAAAGGTGAACTAAAATGGAAATTTTATAATTGCTATTGTTATTAAAGGCTTAAAAGCATTGCTTTGTAAAGCTATGCAGGGTTAAAACCATTTCAAGAAGAGTTCTTTGATAACTTTCTCAGTTTCCTTCAGTTATTGGTCAACTTTGACAATTTATGTTATCTTGAATTATGCCCCCAAATTCATTGTTTTCTTAATGCTTTCTTTTTCTTTTTTTTTAGAATTTTTTTCTCTTCATTTTTTTTTTTTTTTTTTTGGCTGGGGCTGGGTTTAAACCTGCCACCTCTGGTATGTGGGGCTGGTGCCCTACTCAGTGAGCCACAGGAACCACCCGATACTTTATTTTTCAAGTCAACAACTTATCAAGTAAAAAAACAACTGCTAATTTCCTCTTTATAAACAATAAGGAAACTGGCACACTGAGACACCTTAGCACCTCACCCAAGTACAATACTTTTGATTTTATTTCTGCTCTTTAGCTATTTTTGCTCTAGCCTTTTGCAGTTGATCTATTAATTTTGACATGAGTAATTGTTATACAAGAATTATAGCATTTGGGGCAACACCTGTGGCTCAAAGGAGTAGGGTCTGGCCTATATACCAGAGGTGGCGGGTTCAAGCCCAGCCCCGGCAGAAAAAAAGAATTAACAGCATTTGTATTCATTCTATTCAGTATTACACTTGTCACTGTTATTTGGATGTATTTGAGGACTGGAACTAGAGTAAGGCAAGTGAGGTACCCACAGAGCAATATTTAAGGAGGCACAGCTTGTTTCTCAGGCTGGTTCTATCACAGCCCCTTCCTTTTGTACTCTGGACTCCTTTGCTCACCTTAGCCTGACAGCCAAAGATTTCTTTTTAATGACCATCCCTGATCCTTCTTCTCAAAACATTTTAATGGAGATTTTTATTTTGAGTAGTACTTATATAATCCTCTGAGTTTCAGAACTGAGAATTGTTTTCTTAGTACTCTATACTGTCAATATGGAAGCTTAATACATTAAAATATTAACTTAGCTGGGAGTAGAGGTTTTGTTTCACGATTTTTCTTCTTCAAGACAATATTGACTTTCTGCTCATTTCTTCTAGTATATAACACAAGGAAGTCCTAGTCAGCCAGCTAATTTTTGTAGGAAAGGTACATTTAGGCCAGGTGCTATAGTATGGGTTTTTTGTTGTTGTTGTTGTTGTTCCTTTATTTGTTTGTTTGTTTGTTGTGAGACAGAGTCTCACTATGTCACCCTGGGTAGAGTGCTATGTTGTCACAGCTCACAGAAACCTCAAACTCTTGGACTTAAGCAATTCTCTTACCTCAGCTTCCTAAGGAGCTGGGACTACAGGCACCTGACACAATGCCTGGCTATTTTTTGTTGTTGTTGTTGCAGTTGTCGTTGTTGTTTAGCTGGCCTGGACCAGGCTGGAACCCGCCAGCCCCAATGTGTGGCTGGCGCCATAACCACTGTGCTATGGGCACCCAGCCTATAGTACTTTCTTTACCAGATTTCCACACTTTTACCACTATGTCCTGAGGTGTTGATCACTTTCACTAGATAGTGCCTCAAATAATATGAGTAATTTGCTTTTCAATTACAGTTTCATTCAAAACTAGAGTTTTCTTTGATTTTGTTTTATTTAGTGATTCTCCTCAATTTGTTATGTTTTCTTAACTAAGTATACCTCAGCTATTTACCTATATGTGATAACCTGACTGTCCATTTTCTAGCGTCTGCTGGATTTCATCTTTGGATCTTTTGCTTTGCTTTTCCCATGGACTTCTCAGTGGCAGGGCAGATAAACTTTCCAAGGTCTTTCTCAACTTCAACCAGATCCAACTTATTTCCTAAAATTGCACAAGAATGTACCTGTCCCCACAATGTCTTTCTTCTCACTTTAAAAAAAAGAAAGGCATCCATACTTTATTTGATGAAAGGCCTGAAATGTCAACACTTCCTGGTTGTCAACAAAGGGATAATTCCAAATATTTTTTTGAGGTAACCTATTAATGATTAACACGCTTACCTTGGCTCTTGGTTTATTTGCCTTTCCTTACCTGCTGTATGTCTTTGTTCTTATTACAGGAGAATGTTGGCCACAGCAGCAATGTTCTAAATTCAGAACAACTGAAGCAGGACAGGATAGGGAACTGGTTTTTTCAAACAAAGCTGGAATATTTTCCTAGCGCACCAAATCTCAAGTTATCTTCAAAAAGTTTGGTATGAATTATACAAAAATTGGTTAAAACATTTAATAAAATAATTAAATGATGCCATGAATTATTTATTCTAACTGTAATCATTTCTATCTTATTTCATTTTATATAGTGTCTCATACTTTCTTTTATTTATAAAGAATTACATTTTTGATGAAAACTTTTAGATCTCAACTTACAAATGTCCAAGATGGTACTTAAAGTTTTCAAAATTCTTTTACTTAGTACACAAGCAAAAGAGTTTGAATACCACTTGTCTATACAAATAGTTTTTAAGCAATATCCATTCTGGCATTTATTATTTCTGGTCTTTAAAAATTTGCCATAGCATTATCTGTTAATGAAAAACTTTCTTAGTGGTAATATTATTGAATACTATGGAAGACCATGGAATACTATTCAGCCATAAAAAAGATGGAGCTATTACATCTTTTGCATTAAACTGGATGGAATTGAAATGTATTTTTCTTAGTAAAATATCTCAAGAATGGAAAAGTATCCAGTGTACTCAATACTAATATGAAGCCAGTTGACAAACTAATACACACTCACACAAGAGAACAACTCAATTTAGTTCAAGTTGGGGGGAGGAAGGAAGTGAGAGAGGGGAGGAGGAAGGGGGATGAGTGCATTCCCACCTAATGGGTACAATGTAAGGGTATATGGCACACCTTCTGGGAGCAGGACACAACTACAGCAGAGACCCATATAACAATGAAACATTGTAACCTAATCATTTGTGCCGTCATATTAATCAGAAATTTAAAAAATTTTTTAAAAAAGTAAAAATTTAACTAACAAAGATCACAACCAAATTAAAAAAAAAATCTGTATTATTTCCAGGAAAAAAAAAAAAACCCTTTCTTTAATATTACCAGTTCCCCTTTCCTCTCACCCACTGTCATATTTTGATTTTTATAATTTACATTGTAGAATATGTAGAATATGTGTTTGTTTTAAGCCCTTTAAAGAAAGTTTTAGGAATTTCAGAAATTTACTTTCTTGAGAAAATGTCTTTAAAAATATGCCAAACATTTATAGCCCATGATATTGATTTTCCTTCTTCATATTGAATGTTTTTTTTTAAGTTTATATCTGTGAAGAATTTTACATTGTAGTTACAGAAACCAGGTTGATTAAGCCATAAATAAATTTATTCAAACAAGTGATATGAGGATCAAGGATCAAAGGGAAATCTTAAGAAACAGCTTCAAAAGGTCTCACTTGCAAAAGCTTGTTTCATTGCTGAAATAAATGAGTTTGAACCTGTATTCGCCATTCTGCTTTCCTTCTACTCAATATTTAAGGCCTCAGGAGTAAATTTAATTGGTGAAATTTAAGGAAAATACTCACTCCTTGGTTTTACTATAGCCTAGTAAGCTGCACAGCAGAGTCTCACCAGAACTTTTTGGCTTCCAAAGGCAAGATCGTAACTCTCTGTTGCCCATGTCACACACAATGGGCAAGGGAGAGTTCCCTTAAATAAAGTTGTAATGCTGATAAGAAGGGGTAAGAATTCATGGAAATAAATTGATATAAAAATTTTTTTTCTTTTCAATTATTGTGGAATAAGACCAGTTCTACTTAAGCCAGATATTTTCCAAAATAAATTGATGATAGCTTCTTTTGGACTCCTTTTGTAACTGGCTTCATAACCAAAATTTTGTAATTTTCAATTGTTGTAGCTCCCTCACATTTCATAAGAGTTTTCAGTGTTCATGTCAGAACTAAAGCAGGCAGCTAATTGGCCTTGACTTGACAAGCTGAAACAGTAAGTATTATTTCAGTAAGTATTAAGTCAGTGTTCATGTCAGAACTAAAGCAGGCAGCTAATTGGCCTTGACTTGACAAGCTGAAACAGTAAGTATATTTCAGTAAGTATTAAGTCAGTGGCCTACTGACTGCAGACTTAGAGAAAGCAGAGAAGAGACAGAGAGATACTGAGCAGAACTTCCTAACTTTCTGTACACTGATCCAATTCTTTTGAGTTTTTTCCAGGAACAGCAAAACCTCCTTGGAGCCCTGAGATAACTACAGTGCTTTACACTACCTGATGGTCTGGAGAAAGACAAGATAAGGGACGTGCCGCCACAGATTGTGCTCAGGAGCCACTGAGCCTGTGCACAAGGCTAAAAGAATGAACAGTGTTAACTCCTGGCTCATTATAATACTAAAATTCCCACCCTAGGGTGGGATTTATCCACTATTTTTTGTTTATGGGACGTATGTACTAGCATGATTCTTCACGGCACTTGTGGGCCCTGCACTCCACTCCAAACATGTAATGGGGTTCACTCTCCTTATGCATTATTCATTTTTACCTCCATATAAACCCCTTGACCCTATAGTCAGGGATGTGGATTTCAGGTAGCCTATGCCTTCCCCTGCTAGTTGACACATCTTCTGAAATAAATCCTTTCTCCCTTGACAATCCTTATTGTTCCAGCAATTGGCTATCTGTGGGGTGAGCAACATTGAACACCCCTTTACGAGTTCATTAACACTTGTTGTTCCAAGTGCCACTACAATTCCTAGGACCTGAGCTATACACCAGATGATGTCAGTTTTTACATAGTATGATCAAGTAGTTCATTTAAATGACTCTAGTATCCAGAAGGAGCAGAGCACAGGAATATTCCCAGAGGGGAATGCAATGGCTTTCATAACCTTGACCTGCTTTCAACTGTGTTGAAATCACTTTCAGGGTCCTACCCCTTTCAGTATGTGACTCTTCAGTTCCAGAAGGAGATCCCTTGAGTAATACAATTGAGTACTCAATAGTACTGATAGCAAAAGATGACTACTAGTCATGTTTGAGAACCTCTTGTGGAAATCAAATGTGACTTGAATTCTACAATATTAATACAGTTTTTTTTCCTTTCTTCAAATGTGTATACAGTTTTTGGCACCCTCTGTATATCACACACCTTCCATGTGCCAGTACCACTCTAGGGATACGGTAGCAAACAAATAGAAGCAATCCTTGCCAGTATGAAGGGGAATATGGCGATAAATAAGTAAAGTGCATATTGTGTAGAAGTGATTAAACGCTAAGAAGAAAAATTAAACATAGAAGGGGGACTCATTGAAAAGGTGAAATTTGGCCAGGTGCAGTGGCTCACACCTATAATCCCAGCAACCTAGGAGACCAAGGTGGGTAGATTGCCTGAGCTCACCAGCTGGAAACCAGCCTGAGCAAGAGAGAGACCCCGTTCCTAAAAATAGCTGGGAGTTGTGGTGGGTACCTGTAGTCCCAGCTACTCAGGAGGTTGAGGCAAGAGAATTGCTTGAGTTTGAAGTTGCTGTGAGCTATGATGTCAAAGCACTTTACTGAGGGCAACAAAGTGAGAATCTATTTCAGAATGAAAGAAAGAAGGAAAAGAAAAGAAAATCTGTATTAATATTGTAGTACTCAAGTCATATTTGATTTCTGCAAGTATAGGATGTGCACAAATGTGACCTGTAGTCAATAGGATATATATATGTATATCCTATTGGTACATATACATATATATTGTATATCATATATATATATATATATATCTCCTACTGGTTCTGTTTCTCTGGAGAACACTGACTTATTAGCCACAGTGACTTTGAGAAAGACACAAATTGACACCTTTATGGAAGATGTTAGTCTTTGATTTGTCATACATACTATTCAAAGTGCTAAGACCCTTCTTTGTATTCAGTGTTTTAAGAGAGCTTACAGTTGGGAGAAAAATTTATCCAAACTTAAGGTTTTCTTTAGTTAAAAGCATTCCATTTACAAGTTAGGAGGTTATTATTAAGCATTTGAATCCAAATGAAGGCTAATAAGACTAATTAATTAAATGCTTTCAAAAACACAACCAGGCTCAGAATAAACAGAGCAGTCATGCTCTCCAGGTAGGCATGAAGAGTGTGTTTAGGAGATAACATGATATTAACTCCCACTTACCTTACAGGTTGCCCCATTTCTCTCCTAAAGTCAATAAGATACCAACTGATCAGCTTTACAAAAGTCTGCCTAGCAGCATTTAGAAGGAGTTGTTCTCAGTGGGTAGTGCCTGACAACTCTGTCAGGTGAGCTCTGTACCTGGATCCACTCTGGGTCCCCCAGTGTTCCTGATGCCTGGAAAAGAACCTCCCATACTCTAGATATATGGATAGGTTCTGCTATCTGCTTTACTACTAAAAACCTTCTTTATCTCTATGTGATATGTGTTCTATTACAAGATTTGGCACTGAATCTATCACGACTGCTAACTCAGCAATTCCAAGTTCATTGCCCCATTGCCTCATGGAAATGATTTCATAGCTTTGCCATCCTCCCTCCTTCTTTATACTTTGATATTGTCAAAGTATATTGTGCAAAGTATACTTTGCATTGTCATTTTTCCTTAGTTGTCGCAGCTCTCTTCTCTTCTCCCTATGTCTTGTTGGCTTCCCACTAACTCCTCGTCAACTTGTTTCTTCCTTGTTGTCATCATTCCACATGTGCAGAAGCATCTGCAACCTTAATTCCTTATGAGCATCAAACCCTATGACTCTTTTCTCTAGTCATGATATATAATCCCTGATTTCCAAGTCAGCAGTCTTTCATATACATATATATTTTCTATTGTGCGTGCTTTCTGCAGTAGTTTGGATATGGGATTTTTTTTTTTTTTTTTTTTTTTGAGACAGAGCCTCAAGCTGTCCCCCTGGGTAGTGTGCCATGGCATAACAGCTCACAGCAACCTCCAACTCCTGGGCTCTAGCGAGTCTCCTGCCTCCACCTTCCAAGTAGCTGGGACCACAGGTGTCCGCCACAACACCCGGCTATTTTTTGGTTGCAGCCGTCATTGTTGTTTGGCAGGCCTGGGCTGGATTTGAACCCACCAACTTAGGTGTATGTGGCTGGTGCCTTAGCCACTTGAGCCACAGGTGCTGAGCCTGGATATGGGATGTTTGTTTCCACCAAATCTCCTATTGAAATTTGATCACCAAGGTTAGAGGTGGGGCCTAATGAGAGGTATTTGGGCCATTGGTTCAAATCCCTCTTTAATAGGTTAATGCCCTCCCTGAAGGAGGGTGAATGAGTTCTCCTTCTATTATTTCTCATGGAAGCTGTTTGTTACAAAGAGTCTAGAACCTCCCACTTTCTCTCTCTCTTGCTTCCTTCCACCGTATTATCTCGTTATGTGCCAGCTGCCCTTTACCTTCCACCGCCAGTGGAAGAAGCCTGAGGCTCTCACCAGAAGCAGTTACTGGCACCATACTTGCCAGTGTCCAGCTTGCAGAAACTCTTTTCTGTATGAATTGCCCAGCCTCAGATCTCATATCTTTACAGCAACACAAACAAACAAAGACATTTTCCCATTTGGAAAATGCATGCAAATACTCCCTCTCCTAGGGACCATTTTAGGATATTCCCAGGTAGAATCAGTCATCCTAGAGTCCTTGCCACATCTTATTTTAATTAAAATTCTGTACTTTTGTTGGTTCTGCTTGTTTCCTTTGTTCTACTTAAATATTATCTCCCACAGGGTGGTAACTGTCTTTTAGTTTAGCTCTTGACCAATAGCCCGACACAAAATAAATGTGTTCTAACAATATTTTAAGTGGCAAATAACTCAATAAATATTTCAAGATCCCTGGTGCTCTTAAAGTTACATGATACAAAAGAAGATTAAGACATCTAAAATGTTTGCCTAAAATGTTATCTGTATTATGATTTTAAAATAAATAAAAAGTAAGTGAGGTAAAAACTGATCTGGGAAATACAAATAATTGAAAAGTTTTAGTATGTCACCATGATTAATATTGGATAGTTTTTCCTGTTTCCCAAAATTTATTTTCAATGGCAACAAAATTTTAAAACCATATGTACATTGATTTATTTTAGAATAGAACATCATCCTTTCTGTTAAAAAGGAAAAAAAATTTTAATTATCTCTAGAAAAGAAGACAGGAATGTGCACAGGAAACATTACTTTGGTTTCTAAAAAAGAAATGAAGGACTGAAGAACATGGCTAAACAGTGTTTTGGTTTTGTTTTTGTTTGTCTGTCTGCTCTGCTTGCTTTTTTCTCCAGTATTTGCCTTGTGTTGCTATTAATCTCTTTGAGGGCAATGAAATGAGTAGTTTGCCCCTCAAGTCTTCCTTACTATTCTCCTATAATTTTTCTAAAATTGTTCATAACTACTACTTTCAAGACCATCCTCCACAACAGAAGTGGAAGTAACCAGTATCATTAAGTCAAAGTCACCTTTCCTTACACAATGCCCCTCATGTGTCAGCCTACTTTAAACAACATGCTTGGGATCCAAATGTATAATATGTATAAGTGTGGTCTATAAAGCCATGAAATGAACATAAAAGTGATTAGTTTGGTGATATTCAGCAGAAGCAAACAGAATCCTCTCAAAAGGGTTAATCACCTAATCCCTAGCCATTAGGATTCCCTCAAATACATTTCCATTTACTATTTTTCACCAGCTGAAATTATAAAACTTACGTGGAAACAATCTACCATGGGTGAAAGTACAGAAAATATAAACAGCTATCCCTAAATTTTCAAATAAAAGAATGTAAGAAGAAATAGTAGAAATGAATAGAAGAAGAAATGAAAGTAAATAACAATAAACCAAACAGTTATGCATAAGAAGTGAAGAGAAGCCAGATTATTAGAGTTGCTGAAGAAAAACAAAATCTTAATATGGGTTAAGTATCAGATTAGAATAATTGCATTTATGAATTAGAAACCTCTAGATATTCTAGAGGTGAGGCAATGATTCAATGATGCATTAAGTATCCAAACTCTTCATTTTTCCAGTGGAAAAATTATTTGTACCTAAATTTTTACCAATGATTTACACAGAAATATTTCCTTCCTTTCTCTTGGGAAAGGCTTATACTTCCCAGTTTCATTAATAACAAGATTTCTCATATGACTTTAACCAGTGCTATTTAAGCCAGCGTCATGTTTTATTTCCAAACAGAAACTTTTTCTGTATTCTTTTTTGCCTCTGTCATAGACTTGTTATGTTGTAGATGGAAGCTTCACCATAAACCTGGTACCAGTATGAAGATGATGTGGAACAGAGTAATGAGTGAACATTGGGTATATAGCATGAAGCAGGTTGTTGTAAAACATTATGATTTGAGGATTGTTACTGCAGCTTGTCCTGACTGATAAAAAAAAATCACTAGTAGAAGTCAAATGCCACTATAAGACAAAAGAAGTCAATATTAAACTTAAGACATCAAACTATAAAAATACTAAAAGAAAGTGCAGGGAAAACTTTTGAAGAAATCAACCTGGGTGAATATTTTGTGAGGAGGACCCCCTGGCCAACTGAAGCAGCATCAAAAATACACTACTGGGACCTGATCAAACTAAAAAGCTTCTGCACAGCCAAGAACACAGTAGGTAAAACAATCAGACAGCCCTCAGAATGGGAGAAGAT